CGAAAGAGATTTCATCAATTTGCCAATTTATAATCTGACTTAAAGTCAAAGCGGGAAAAAAAAAAAAAAAGCAAGTCAACGTCTAGTAAACTCGCACAGCCACAAAACTGAAAAGCTTCTTTGATATCAGCTTAGATTTAGAAGGCCTATTCGGTCCACCGTTTTATTGTCTCGCTGTTTAGAAGTGCTGTTTCACAGTATTTTTGTTTTCTGACATTTGTGGCGGTAAAATTGAGTGATTATCACAAAAAAACGAATTTTTGCCGGAAGGATCGCTTAAGTTTTCAAAAACAAGTAGGAGACTTACAAGGAATCCGGGTCTTAAATAATTGATTACTTTCAACAATTTGCAAAACAAAGCGTATGGACCTGACTAAGATGTAAAACTTCAGCTTCGTCTTTGAATTAGGGAGCTACACTAACATACAGACAAGAATCACCAGCAAAGAAACATTCTTGGAGAAAACGGTAGGAAATAATTTTGTTTGGGCTTAGTTGCAGAGTATTTCGTTTACAGAGAGCTATGTCAGTATGGCATGGCTACGCAAAAAAAAAAAAAAAAACTGTAGGTGTCTCGATGAAACCCAAAAATCGTGTCAGAAAATTTGACGACCTTTTTCTGGAAACAAGAGGCTTAAATACTGTAGTAAGAGAGTAAACTTTGATGAAAGATATATTGGCTTAGTCAGGAGAGTTCCTACGAAGGCAGCGGCCCCTTTAATTTTTTTATTTTTCACTTCCATCTATGTCTCCCGCTTTCGCAAAATCTTGAATATTTTTGTGAGACAAGTTAAAATGTGAAGAAAGATGGGAAGCTCGTTTTACAAGTGCTGGAAAGCTACTGCAAGGACCCAAATCCCAGCATATTGTGAAAAAGGACTCATTAATTGATAAACTAAGCATTGTATTGCTCCCACGAAGCGACTATACTCGAAACTTCAGTTTTTCAAATTTTCGCTACGGTGCTTTTCGCTTCCTTTACAAACTCATGGTTGATTATTAACTGATTTTTTCCTTTTGCTCGACGATGCAGCAGCGTAAACAAATCTTTCACAAACTGGCAAGCTCCTGTCTTATGCCAAGTTTACACGCAAGCGCTCTTCAGCCGCTTCCTACAAATATCGCGAAGATCATTTGGGTGAAGATAGAATAAAACGGTCGTGTTAGAAATCTGACTCAAGTGTGAAACATATCCTGATTCCCCCTGAAGATTCCAGCCTCTGACACCTAAAGCAGTCCCTGACAGGCTCCGACTACACTTTTTTATATTTCATAAATATTTTTGCAGTTTAAAAATTGTCCGTATTCCATTTGGTAAATGAAGCATATACCTCGTACTTCCCGTTAATCGTGTCAAAAAGGAATTTGTTAGATATTGAACAGTTGAAAATTTTTCATGCGCTATGCTAAATTTTCCAAGTTGAGTTTCGCGGAAAAATAAAGAATTTGTTCATGGTTAGCGTGCGTATATCGAGTTATGGATGCATGCGGGAAGTTTGGAGAGCACGAAAAATGCGTAAGACTAGCTCGAGGCGCAGCCGAGAGCAACTCTAGCTTTTTTAGTGCTCTCCAAACTTCCCAAGTTCATCCATAACTCGATATACACACAGCTAAAAGCACGAGCAAATTCTTTTATAACAGAGCGACAACAGGGATCTGCTCGAAGAAGCCTTTTATTGTGATAGAGTGAAAAATTCTCACAACGCACAAAAAAGTAAACAAACGTCCCTATTGGCTGGTCAAAAACACGCCACATTTTATACTTTGGTTTGAGCGAGAACATTTGATCCAGTTAACCGATAACTGTGAATGAAAAGCTCAGAATTTACGGGGAAAATGGTTTTTGATTTAGATTTTTTGCGGCCTCGATTGTTTTGGTTTTGGTAAATTCCCAATTAACAACTGTGTACTTTATTCCCCAGGTTGAACAAATTTAAAATCAACAATGAAAACGGAAATTTTACCTTTAAATGTTAATGGCCAGTTGGTGACTTTTTTTTTGTTCTCAATGAATGTCTTTCGGCCAAAATTTGCGGCAGCTGGTCTTCTGACAAATTTGCGCAACAAGCAACTTGCGAGTTTTTTTCAGCTTTCGTTTTGTTGCTTGTTGGATCAGGACCTAAAAGGTCAATGTCGATAGAAAAATTGGGCAGTTCTTCGCTGGTTTCTTCCATATTTCAAAGTGAAGGAAAACTGCACTGCAGCTTAACAGGACGGAAACTCTAAGGCCAGGTGAAAAAAATGCTCACGTCATCTTATTTACGCACGGGCGTGCGTCAATAAAGATTTTGTTCTTAGCGGCTCAATAGGACTTATATAGGGTAAGCACGAGCGCATTTTATAATTCCTCATTTATGGAAGTTGATGTAAGTTTTATCACGCGGTACTTAACGTTTTATTTCAATCTTTTTTGTAACCTTACTTGCATGTAAGGATAACCTGAAAATTCTTTATTAATGAGTTCAAAAAGCAATTTCACGATGTCCCCACTTTGCAGCTTGAAAAGTTTAGTAAGTCCGGCTGGTATAATAGAGCGAGCATCAAGAATATAACGAATTTTTGCCGGAAGGATCGTAAAAGTTTTCAAAAACAAGTAGGAGACAACAAGGAATCCGAGTCTTGAATAACTGATTAGTATGAACAATTCTTAAACAAAACAAAGCGTATGGACCTGACTAAAATATAAAATTATGTCATGCAGGACCGCAATTAATTTTGTAGTCCGCAAAAATGAAACGAAGTATTTCGGCTTCTTTTCAAGTTCTATGCCTTGCTTTACTGGAAACTGCAACTCGAAAATCAAGCCCGAGTCTTGAATAACTGATTAGTATGAACAATTCTTAAACAAACCAAAGCGTATGGACCTGACGAACATATAAAATTATGTCATGCAGGACCGCAAATAATTTTGTAGCCCGCAAAAATTAAACGAACTATTTCGGCATCTTTTCAAGTTCTATGCCTTGCCTTACTAGTAACTCCAACTCGAAAATCCAGCGCGAAATCCGACTCAAAATTCTAACTCGAAGGAGTGTTTGCTCAAAAGTAGAACTTTGACTTCGTATCACGACCTCCAGTCGCCAACAATCGGTTTTCGATCGCTGTTCAAGCGACTGCTCGATAAAGGAGAAACTCCAAATCCTAACTCGTTAGCAGCTCCTAACTAACTATTCTAACTAATACAGCTCTAACCAGCCTTTCTTCATTACTCATTTGATATTGCATTTCCTGACCAGAATGCAAATCAAGCTAATGGTTAAAAACCGCAAATATCGACTGACTAAATACGTTTTGGCATTGAACAAACATCCGTTTTCCTGAAATTTGAGGTCCAGTTTGGCAAATATATGACTTTTCTGTGCACGCAATTCGTAAAAAATAAAGTAAAAAATTTCAAACATAGAAGCATGCATGTTGATCGTGAACTCACGAAAAACCAGTCTACAGACTAAAAAGAAGGTTAGCGAAAGTTTTAGCACCAGAATATTTTTTGCCTTTTTCTTTTCAGTGAAATTTTTTTTCCAAAACATGCATCGAGAGGAAATGGCCAAAAAGGTCTTGTACGCAGTAGGGCTGTTGATCAAAAGCGTGCTGTTATGCTGTACAGCTGCACAGCAATGGGAGGCTACGGGCCAGCGGGAAGTTTCCAAATTTGGTATGATGCTACAACGCCACATCTTCAAGAGGATCACGGGGGCTGGTCTTTCAGATGTGTGCTTGCGGGAATGCTATGCTGACGTCAGATGTCAAAGTTTCAACTATGTCTTTACGCAAGACATTTGTGAGCTGAGCAACCGAACCAAGGAGGCCAGACCAGAGGATTATGTTCCGAACCCTGAGAGATTTTACTTTAAGCGAGATTACAAACGAGGTTTGTACATTTTTTTTGTCTTCTTCCCTTTAAAGACATTTTCAGAGCAAAAAATTTCACCCAAATTTTTAAGGAAATTTTAGAAATTTAAGTAATTGCCTCGCATCACCTCCCTTCTTGCCTAAGTCAAGTCGCCCTCAATATGAGTATATTTGCCCTCAAGACGAATATCAAGTCTTGCTTACCTGAATTGCTATGCTAATAATTGCTTTTTCCTCCAGTTCCTCTCGGCTCCATTCCTGAGCTGCCTGCGGAGACTTGCCAGGAAATCAAAATGAGCGAAGGAGGAGAAGCGATCAGCGGCAAATACTGGTTTCACTCAATTGTACCCAAGAGAACTTTTCTGGCTCCTTGTGACATGAAAACTGAAGGTGAATTCAAGTGTTTATCAATTCTTCTACAGACAAAAAACGGTTCACCACTAATAAACGCGTTGACAGAGATGTTGTGGGTAGACTGCGACCCCCCTTGCCCCCCCCCTCCAAAAAAAAAAATGCCACCAGAATGCCATCATTTCTCTCACACCGATCGATTTGAGATCAGATCAAACAGAATTGGAAACTTTCCTCTCTGACACATTTAGCTAATTGTTCAATAGCAATCCGATAAAACAACTTTATGGTGACGAAATTTAACGAATAGGGGAGGGGAAATTTTGCTTCCTTTAGGGGTCGTAAAAAGTAAATTTTGGCTTTCACCGGAAGACATGTGAGAAGCATTTGGTCTGATGAATACACGAACGAGTCCTAACTCATCAAAATACCTCCTTTTGCTTTTAAACCGACCGCAAACAATGTGGTTTTTTTTTTTAAGACGTGGACGAATGTAATTCCACAATTTCCGTGTGTGACGTCAACGCCGAGTCCGAAAACACCATCGGTTCTCACAGTTGCTCGTGCAAAGTGTGTCGGTTAGTTAGTGAAATGACTTTCACTATTGCCTAAAACAATTTTATTTTAAAACAAAGAAAAACCAGAACAATCCCGGCTTAAGCTAGACACTCGATTAAAAAAAAATTGCTTTAATGACCGATTGGAATTATACCCCAAACGATGTCACGTTCAATTGCTTATACGGTGAGACTCTTTCGCCAATAACCGTCATTTTCGATTGACTCTTGCTCTTTCAGATGTCGACGAATGTGCCAATAAATCGCATGACTGTGACGTCAATGCCTACTGCAACAATACCGTTGGTTCCTATCGATGCATCTGTAATGCCTGGTACCAGGGAAACGGAAAAAGCTGCTATTTTCGTAAGTTTAACTAACAATAAGACACTAGCGACCTCAGTATGTTATGATACTCGCATTTCGCATTCTCTATTTTTCTTTATCATCATATGAAGCTTATTTTGGAAATTAGTTCTCGAAAATACATATTTTTGAAACATGAGTCGGTCCTGAATCGAGACCAAGGTGGAATTCGTCCTAACAACGGGCTACATTATAACCCTTTACTCCCTAGCATCAGTACAGATATTCTCCACACTGTTCCGTATGGTAATGCCGAGGGGAATTTTCTTCACAATCAAGAGCTTCATAACTTGGTGATTATTTCCCATGATTCTGATGTTTGGTTCAGCAGTGATACGGTGAGGAGAAGTTAAATGCCAAACCCTCTTAGGGGTTAAAGGGTTGAACTGATACGTCTCACTTGGCGCCTAACTGACCACCCCCCCCACCCCCCTTAAAAAAGAAACAATATCATTGATCTTGGAAGTTTGTTGCTTACAACTATGTCGAACTTTCTATCTTGGTCAGCCTTAATTCTTCTTTTTTCATTATTATCATGTTTTTATCTCGTGGTTTCCTTTCATTCTAAAAGAGCATTGATTGGTGCAAATAACGAGGCGAGATATGATTACGTGTACTAGGTTTAGAAATCTGGAATGTCACTCAAACACGCTTTCATGGCTTTATCGCGTGAACACGTCTGAAAGGGAGAAAACGTTTCCATGGGTGCACTTCCCAGTTCACACGTGTTGTGCCTTAGATCGACGTGCGTCACACAACGATTGCCACGCTGTTATTCGTAAAAACGAAAAAAGCGAAATGTAGACATTACCACCACCAAGATAACGAAAGCAATATGATGCCAAACTTTCAGGTAGGACAATCTTTACCTTTTCTCCCTTTTTCGGTTATTCGTATAGGTGGCCTTAATAGTTCCGTCATTCTTACCAGCCTCGACTACAACAACTACACAGGTAAGCTGCTTTCTTACCTAGAGCCAGTCCTCCTGAGTTCAGAGTGGAGCAGGTTTGTGAAGTGGAGCAGGTTTGTGAAATGTTGGCACGCTAAGACAGACGGCTGGGCGGCATCGACATTCCACAGCAACTGTGATGGGAGGGGACCCACAGTGACAATCATCAAAGTGAACGATTACATATTTGGTGGATATACTGATGTGTCCTGGAGCGGAGGTAGGTATATCAAATTTTTTAAGAGGGGACAAGACAATTTTATAGGATCAACTATCGTTCCTTTAGGGATTTAAGGGGGGTGGGGAGGAGGTGCTGGAGGAAGTTTTGAGCGATGCTCCTCTGATAAGAGCTCTAAGCCTTTATTATTTCATATTCATTTTTTGGTCATCAAGATTTCTTAATACCTATATCGTCTATAGAAATGTTTCCTATTTGATAAACCCTTCAAGTCTTCCATGATTTTTTTGGTACTCGTTTCTATACCAAACTAGTAAAATATCTCCCTCCCTTTCACAAATCTCTAGTCTGAGATAAAAATCTCCTCCTAGTTCATGACAGAAACTGAATTCCCCCCCCTCCTTCCGCAGGGGGTCATGTTTTCTTACAACTTTTTAATGTACAACTATGTTGTTGTTCTATTTCAGCTGGTTCTTGTGCGGGTTTTTCTTACGCCAGTAAAGCTTTCATCTTCTCTCTCTATAACGTCAAAGGATATAATCCCGTAAAGTTGACACAATACCGAAATCAGCAATATGCAGTAAACAGATGTAATACGCGTGGACCCACCTTTGGCGGGGGGTGTAGTTGTGATATCTACATATCCGACGACTCTGGAAACAACCAAAACTCCTACACCAGATGCGGTTGCACGTACACGACACCCTCAGGATACTCAACTGGTAACTGTGGTTTTTTTACAGGGGGGTCTAATTTCTCTCCAACGGACGTCGAAGTATTCTATGAAGCAGGTAATCAAGAAAAACACCCCTTTCCGAGAATAAATACTTAGTGTGGCCTGTAGAAAAATCATGTAGTGTATTTTAGAAATATTCTCAGAAAGTTGTTTTTCTAGAGTACAGATAGCTTAATTTTTTTGTCATTTTAATTTATGAGGGTATGTGTAGGCTTATAGAGTCTTTTAGTAGTATTCATTTAAGTTCGTCACGCAACGCGTTACGTGACGAGCCTGACAGGACTTGTCTGAGTTGCCGCGGGGGTTTGTGGGTATTACATTAAACGAAATTGTTACGGCCACTTGAAAGAACGGCTGAGTTAACAAAAAAATTTCAGTCATGTTTTGATGCTACTCTGGCTCAAAGATTTTAATGAATGTAACCGAGACGTTACAATTCATAGACCCAATCTTTCGACACTCCTGTCTAGTGCATTCATCAGGGGTGATGATGAAGACACTAGACAGGAGTGTTGAAACGTTGGGTCTATGAATTGTAACTTTTCGGTTACATTCATTAAATCTTTAAACCAGAGTAGCATCAAACCATGTCTGATTGTCCACCTGCTTGCTTTGTGAACTTTAAAACAAATTTCATTCTCTCTGCCGCCTAAAATACCGCCTGGTAGACAGGCTGGGGATTTTCTTACTTGCCGGATCAGTAATGTTAGATTATCATATCTAGCGACCCAAACGAGGGGTGATGAAATTATCCACTTTAGATTCAAAGGCGACACCACCAATCAAAGCTTTTGTTTCATTTATTTGGCCAACTGTAATTTTTCCTTTTCTTTTCCCACCTCAGGCCTCGGTTTGTCCGCCATACTTCGAAGTCTTGATTACAACCAGTACTTGAAGGTACTGTTTTCGTATTTGGACCCAGTCCTTATCAATAAAGAACGTAGTAGGTTTGTGAGGTGTTGGCACGCAAAGACGGACGGTTGGGCAGCATCAACATTCCACAGTAACTGCGATGGGAGGGGACCCACAGTGACTATCATCAAAGTTAACAGTTATATCTTTGGTGGATACACTGACGTGTCCTGGACCAGTGGTGAGTAAAAAAACAAGCAAACATCTCTCACATGTAGAACAGATAACAAATCGATTAGTTGTGGACTTTTCTTGTAGCAGTGAGTTGATCCTAGAAACAGAAAATTTCACATTAACAACTGAGATACCAAAGTAGACAGACTCATAAATAGCCTGAAAGTGCGTTTGAAACGGGTTTTAACTAAAAGTCTTGTTTTGGATTTGATTTGATTTTGATTTGATTTTGATTTGATTTTGATTTGATTTCATTCTGACAGCTTCATTTCGTGCCATTTCCCCTTGTTTCGTTGTATTCATTATTCATATTGGAGAGCTGAAACAAAGGATGTTTAGTTAACTCTCTCTTTAGATCGTATGCTGCCTTTGAATAAAACTTCAGACCATATTTCAAATGATTTTTTTGAAAACTGAAAATATGCTCTTGAGTTCCTTGAAATTTTCTCTAACAAATTGTTCAGTTCTAGTACGGCAAGCAAAAAAAACATTTTTATGGTTATCATCATGAATTCTGGTTTTAGATATAAGAAATTCATATATTTGCACTGCGGTGAAGAAACGAAATTAAGAGATCCTCGCAGCTAAGAACACTACTGAAACGAGTAGAAGAAAATAGGACCTGAAAAAAAATTCAGGCCCGTTCGGGCCCGTACCTCTGCGGTATCGCAGAGGTCATGGGTTCAAATCCCGTATGGGCCTGAATTTTTTTTCAGGTCCTATATTCAACTACTCGTTTTAGTAGTGTTCTTAACTGCAAGGATCTCTTAGTTTCAGTCATAAATTTTATTTCTCATTCGCATAGTTTCTAATGCTCCTATATCTTTTCATTTTAGGTTCCTGTGCTTATTCTTCAGCCAGCAAAGCGTTTGTTTTCTCTCTTTACAACGTCAAAGGATACAATCCTGTGAAGCTGACACAATACCAAAACCAGCAATACGCAATGTACAGATGTTCCTCTCACGGACCCACTTTTGGCTCGGGACATGACATCCGCATATATGACGACGCTGTAAACAATCAGCACTGTTATACTAGATGCGGTGGCACGTACTCCAACCCCACGGGCTATTCAGCTGGAGATTGTAAATTTTTCACAGGAGCATCGAATTTCACTCCATCTGACATCGAAGTTTTCTTCGAAATAACAAACTAAACACTTAAAACTGTGCTGTCTAAGTAAGTATTGTAACAATAGAGTTAGTGTCTCCTCACACAAGGCCCAACAGAACTTGCCCTGTATTCTCTCAGTGCTTACTCGTTTATTTACCATTTGAGAAAGTGTTCTGATTGGTAGAAAAATCAAAAAAAAATTGTACTGATAAACACATAATTTTAGTTACAAAAGCAACAGACTGCATTTTCTATTCGTTTACTAGCGTAATAAACTACGCAGTATGTTGGTAGAACACTCAAAAAGTTCGTAGATTATGAGAAGTGAAAGAGTGATTTACAAACTTTCTCGTGTTCTTCTAACATCCTGTGGGGTTTGTTAAGCCAGTGAACCGATAGAAAGAGCAGTCTATTATAAAAAGACAGCGCATTTTAGGCTGGCAAGGTTGAGGGCGCCTCCATGTAGTAAACTCTGCAATTGGAATATCATGTTGTAGGTGAGAAATTCTTCAGTATTGGCTGCAGAGCATTCGAAATAACAGATCTTATAATAACAAAACACCCAAGTTGTAAGCCCTTTCTCCATTCGAGATGAAGCATTTGTAGCGCGCACCGCCATCGTGCGCTTTTATTTGCGTTGCACGTGCATTTTATTTTCGTTGCATGTGCATTTCATCTGTTTCACCAGTTAAGTAATGTGTATATTTTAAACTTTCTTTAAGTTAGATTAATATTATGTGTGCATCATTTTAATCATTAATCAATAATTTTTTTTGTTGTTGAGATAATTATGTTGTTGTAGCTTGGGTGTTGCGCCGCGAGATAGCGAAAGTTTTCCTTCACAGAAGCTAAACACTCGCTGTCAGTGACACGTTCCTATAAGAATCATCGAAAGAGAAAATTGCTTCTCTCCATTGAAGACTACCACAGAGGCATCAGTGCAATATGAGGGGAGATCAAGGCTGATATTCTCTTTCAAATTCTGTCTTAAAGAACCAACAATTTCCATTTCTTCTAATCAGAACTGAAATTGAGCCGGCAGAAGAGAATTTAGAATTAAGAACAGAAATTAGCAAATCAAAACCAATATTGACGAACGTAAAGGAATTAAGTTGACGCTGAAAGTCACTGATCAGATCTGCAATTGAACAAGAGAACAAAATTTGAATTATAAGAACACTTCTCTTTTTTTGCGTCGCCACAAGCCAAAAGTGATTTTTGGCTAGACTACCCGTTTTTGAATAATTCAGCATGCCTGTAATCACTAGAATGCCAAATACCAAACTGATGTGTCCTAAACCCTTTTCATGGGCAAAAAATTGAAAAAAATTATTTTTCGTAGGGAGAATGGAAGTCGAGAGGACCGCTCTTAGCGAAAGCGGTACTTCAGTAACTTCCCCAGGCCTCGCTCAGTTACCTGTGATCGTGTCACGTCCCCAGGCCGGATCGGAATAGAAATTGAACAGCGGAATGATCAGATGTGTTAATTTCTGTCTTGTTACTTAAATTTCTGTCTCATGTCTCAGTTTCTGTTCTCATGATTTAAATGTTGTTCTCTTGGTCCAATTTTGGTTCTGATCGGTGACTAAATTCCTTTGCTTTGTGTTCTTAATTCTTAAATTCTCTTTTATAGATTTTCTCTCATTTTTTGCCTAGGAAAAGGGTTTAGGACACATCAGTTTTAAAAAATAGTTTGGTTGTTCCCCTAAGATTAAGTAATAAAATTTGGCATTTTGGTGATTACAGAGAGACTGAATTATCCAAAAACGGGTAGTCTAGCCAAAAATCAGTTTTAGCTTGTGGCGACGCAAAAAAAGAGAAGTGTTCTCATGATTTAAATGTTGTTCTCTTGGTTCAATTGTGGTTCTGATCAGTGACTTTCAGCGTCAACTAAATTCCTTTGCGTTTTGTTCTTAATTCTTAAATTCTCTTCTGCCGGTTTAGTTTCAGTTCTGATGAGAAGAAATGGAAATCGTTGGTTCTTTATAACAGAATTTAAAAGAAAATATCGGCGGTGATCACCCCTCATGGCACAAAGCCGTGGTTCCATTTCATTTACTTACCATAATCAAAATCAAAAGGAAATAAGAATATAATCATGCAACCCAATATCAAGAACATGTCGCCCAAGATTCAACTTCTTTTTTATCTTATATAATCATTAGGCTCGACTGGTCTGGTAGATTTTAGCCAGTTAGAGGTGCGGCTAAAATCTTTAAACCTTTTTATCCTAACGTCAGGGAATATTAAAAAACAGTATGTAGTTTTAAGGGGGTTTAGAGGTGGATATAGACATAAAAAGTCCGTTCCAGTCTACAAGAGAGTAAAGACGAGCGAAAGAGCGAGCAAACCACAAACAGCGGTTATGGTTCTCAGGAAAACGGCTGACCGCCGTTTTTTAGCAGGCGATTCAAGACATACGGAAAGCCTGCTACAGACTGAGAGATAAGAAGATTTGAGATTTGCGTTTAGCCTTAGGCTAGCCCCGATATTAAACACATCTAAACTTACTATTAAGCTTACCATTTTCCGTTTGTATAAAAACACTTTGTCGGACGGTTGACTCTTTTGACAGAGATGTGGTTATGCCATCCAGGAAGGAAGCCTTTTAACAAGGCCTCTGAATGAAATTTCGACCTCACTTGTTCTTGATTTATCAAGCACGTCTGAACCTTAGGTCGATATCGAGTTATACAAAGAAATGAACAAATATAATTTAAAACTTATTTGAACATAAAGTTTATATCTGATCATAACTGTGCCTGTCAGAAATCAACTGTAATCCTTTGAATGTAAATAAAACTAAGTTCACCACTCGTTTATTTTCATTGTATTTCATTTCACCGTATTAAGATAACCTTCGGTCTCAGTTTTCAACGACTGATTGATGCACAACAGTATTAGATCGATGAACCCAAAGTAAAATGTTCGCACGTACACATCATGCGCCAGATCCAACGAGTAGTTCCACCTTGGCAAAATTTCTCGTTGCTGGGTTTTTCCCGCGCTTTCTTACTGCTTTGTTCTTTCCCTCTCTTTTTCCCAATTTCACCCATTCAATGTTTCCTAGTGCCAATCAATAGCTGTATTCTTTTCCATGTTCGTCACTTCTCAGCTATTCCTCAGCAATCGTATTATTCTGCACTTGCGCTGCAGTGACACGCATTTACACTCCAACATCATTATGCATATTCTCCACACTGTTCTCTATATGCTGATTTAGTTTGGGGTGACAAAAACCATGTGTCTCTTATGAACGACCCGCAGGTTCTGCAGAACAAGGCCGCGAAAATTATCCTTAACAGGCCACTTTATTCGTCAGCTACTGATGCCGTCGAAACTTTAAAGTGGCTCAACCTAGAACAACGTAGATTTTATCATCCCTGTACGTATGTTTACAAGTGTATTAATGGCCGTGTGGGTCACTCAATTGAGCTACTAGCAAACAGGAACATTCCTAATTATAACACAAGAAATAGAGACATGCTTGGACTACCCCTTGCAACCAAAAACTGGGGTAAACAGAGAGTGCGCTATCACTCTCTGAAAGATTGGAACAACCTAGATAAAGCCACTAGAAATGCACCTGACACTGTGAATTTTAAGCGTAGCATTTTCAGCAGTTTTTATATTCAATTCTTCGTGTTTCAGTTGCAGCTTTTTATCAACTTTTGATATAGTTTTTGCACATATTGTTATTTCTAGGTATCCTTCATTTTACTGTATATAGTTAAATTTTTTTTTAATCTAATTTAGGACCTTTTCTGAAAACCACAGTGATGTGATGAAAGTGTCCTAATAAAAGATTATGATTAAGTTTTGAGTCTTAAATAATTGATATCATCAGCTTTGGAGAAAGAGTCAGGCTTAAAGACGCGGACAAATTTGAAATTCTTGCACTTCCCATTAATAAATATTTCAAAAGGAATTTTTTAGATATTAGATCACTTTATTGGCGAGCCAACGATCCAATTGGAAAGTATCATTTTCAACAAAACTTTATACTGTCTAACTCGAACAGCTGAAAATTTTTTCATGCGCTATGCTTAACTCCCTTAGCTGAGTTTTGCGGTTGAAAATTCCTCCTTTATAGAAGTTTATATTAGGTTTTCTCACTCGGTACTCAACTTTTTATTTCAATCTTTTTTATAACCTCAGTTACATGCACTGATAACTTGAAAATTCTTAATGAACGTGTTCAAAAAGCAATATCTTGATGTCCCCACTTCGCGACTTGAAAAGTTTTTAGTAACTTCGGCCATTATAATGGAGTGAGTATCACAAAAAACAATTCTTAAACAAAACAAAGCGTATGGACCTGACTAAGATATAAAAATTCAGCTTGGTCGTTGAATTAGAGAGCTACGCTAACATACAGACAAGAATCGCCAGCAAACAAACATTTTCGGAGAAAACGGTAGGAAATAATTTTGTATGGGCTTAATTGCAAAGTATTCCAATTACAGGTAAAGTTATCTCAGAATGGCATGGCTACGCAAAGGTATTTTCTGGTAAAGGAAAAAACTATCGATGTCTCGATGAAACCCAGAAATCATGTCAGAAAATTTGACCAATTTTTCTTGGCAACAGGAGGCTTAATTGCCGTGGTAAGAGAGTAAATTAGGATGGAGGATGTATTGGCTTAGTCCGAAAGTTCTAACGAGGGCAGCGGCCCCTTTCATTTTTTTTTATATTTCGCCTCCATCTATGTCTCCTGCCTTTGCCAATCCTTGAATATTTTTACGAGAAAAGTTAAAACGTGAAGAAAATTCGTTTCACAAGTGCTGGAAAGCTACTGCAAGGACTAAAATCCCAGTATATTCTGAAAAATAACTCGTTGATCGATAAACTAAGAATTGTATTGCTCCCACGAAGCGACTATACTCGAAACTTCAGTTTTTCTAACCTCGCTACGGTGGTTTTTGCTTCCTCTATAAACTCATGACTGATTTACTGATTAACTGATTTTTCCTTTTGCTCGACGATGCAGCAGCGTAAACAGATCTTTCAGAAACTGGCAAGCTCTTGTCTCATGCCAAGTTTACATGCAACCACTTTTCAGCTTCCCACAAATATATCGCGGAGATCATTTGGGTGAGGAAAGAATGAAACGGTCGTCTTAGAAATCTGACTCA